ATAGCAACACAGATTTCTAGGATGTTTAATTCAAGTACACCAAGAGTTATGTTAAAAAATAAAAATACACTCTTGATATTTTTGGTGCTTTTTGCCTTTTTTTTCTGGTCTAAATAAATCTTAATGCTCTCTACTCCCTCTTCTTATGAGTAGTTTCTTTCTCAGATGAAAGAAACGCAGGATTAAATAAAAATATATCCGCAACTTCCAAGTTTACCTTTCATCTAACTGATGGCATATTCATAATATCTAAGCTGCTCTGAAGGTAAGAGGTAAGAAGGGAGAACTGTACTGAGTTCAGCTACCTAGTGAACTGCACATTGTAGTTCTAGCACTACAGCAGCTGCCAGCAATAAACTTTCATTTTCTCTTTTGTTTTCTTCTTAATTCTCTTTGGGTTTTAGTCAATCAGTTCTTTATATATTTTACTTCTTTTATACCTATATTATTACATTTTGTTAAAAAGGTTTCCTGAGGGACATGGGGCTTATGCAGTCATGATGTTTCTATGTCCTTTCCTAACTGTATCTGCAGTAGCATTTAAGTATTTTGGAGAAGTTCAAGAAAATTTGACAAACAATACAGGTCTCAAAGGTATTGCATTTACAGGATCATAGGGTAGTTCATATGTGATCTCAGGAGGTCTCTAGTTTTATCTTTACCATGTTGCCTCTCATCCCCATTACACACTGCTATGAAGAGCCTGCCTTCCCACTGGGATGGAGGAGCTGCTGTCTCTTATCCACAATAAACAAGTCCAGTTCCCTCAGCCTCTTCTCACAGAGCATGTGTAGACAAATTCAGTTCATACCTATCTACAGAAGTTGGCATAGATAGTAGACTTGACCCACAGTTTTTGTACAGGTATTAAACTCATGACTAGTGGAGGTATTGCTTTATCTGTGTCAGTTGTAATAGGAATTACTCAGTTATCTTCCCTGAATCATCCCAATGAGCTGTGTGAGCTAGTTAGTATGTGTATGTGTAGTGAAGGAAGGTTGTTAGCAGATGCATGTGTTTCCGGGTGAATACGGTGAGCCACTGGCTAATTTTTCAGAGCCTGTGGCTGATTGTGCTGTCCTAATAACGCCTCTTATTTTCATTAGACGCTGAGTGTTTTTACTTCTAAATTACCTATCCTTAGGGGTTTGGATGTCCTTTTTTTGTGACTGGAAACCTCTGAGGATGTTTCTTACAAATTTAATTTGTAAAAGTGTTTTTATTGGGCCATCTACTTTTGGGGAGTTTTGAGTGGGGTTTTTTTTTTTGGTTGGTTGTTTTTTTTTTTCCATTCCCCCCACCCCCGCACAAAATCCATCAGCCCTGCTTTCATTTAAAACTGAAACACCTTAGACAGATATTAACTTTCATGTATATTTTGAGTATTTGTTGATTTAAAACATACATGGGGATTTTGTGATTTTAGCATCATTGTAGGCATTCAGGATAGCAACTGTGTAGCTTTTTTAATGACCTTTAATTATAAAAGACAAAGTGTTTGCTAATAAGCCATTGGTGTTGCTGCTACCATGGCAGGAATGTTTCAGCAGGGGAGGTTGCACCAGATGAGCTCTAGACTCCCTTCCCACCATAACCATTCTGTGATTTGATGACTCAAATCACATCCAGATTGCCTGATGTGGGAAGATTTGAATGTTTCTATATGCTCATGAACATTCAGGTTTGTCTTATGGGAGTCTTTCATCCATGAGGCTACCATTGCTTTTTCATTTTATGTTTTCTTTTATTTCTCACCTGCCTTCAGGGGATTTATAAGTGACTGCACCGAAAAAGAACAAGCAAAACAGAAGCATGAGGGCTGCAATGAATTAAATGTTGGAGTGAAATCACAGGATGTCTCACACTTGGTAGACCTGTGGACTCTTGTTCACATACTAGTAATGTCTGAAAAGCATGGTTGAAATAGTCTTCCATTAACTTGAGCAAAGACATCACTTCTGTTCCAAAACTTCCACATAGTCTCAAACAAAATGAAAATGTAAGACTGCCTCTAAGATGAACCTGCCTCTGGCCAAGGTCAGGCCCGTCAGTGACTGTTGTAGTGCCTCTGGGACAGTATGTTTAAGAAGGGTAAAAAAGTTATTACACAGGAGCAATTGCAGACAGAGAGAGGAGTGGGTGTATGTATCAGAAACAGCCCTCCAGACATCAAGGGCAGCGCAGAAGGAGGGCAGGAGGTGCTCCAGGTGCCAGAGCAGAGCTTCCCATGCAGCCCATGGTGAGGCAGGCTGTCCCTGGCAGCCCATGGATGTCCTGATGGAGCAGATCTCCACCTGCAGCCTGTGGAGGACCCCACACCAGAGCAGTCTGTGAAGAACTGCAGCCATGGGAAGGACACACATTGGCGCAGCTTGTGGAGGACTGTCTCACATGGGGGGGGACCCCACACTGGAGCAAGGGAAGAGTGTGAGGAAGGACCAGCTGAGACAAGGTGTAATGACTGACCATAACCCACATTCTCCTGTGCCCCCTGGGGGGAGGAGGTGGAGAATTTGGGAATAAGGTTGAGCCTAGGAAGAAGGGGTTGAGTGCTTTGTCCATAAAGGTAGTTGCTGAATGATCTCTCCCTGTCCTTATCTCACCCCATGAGCTTTTTTGTTGTATTTCCTCTCCCCTGTCCACCTGAGAAGGGGAGTGATAGAGTGGCTTCTGTGGGCACCTGGTGTCCGGCTAGAGTCGGTCCACCACAGTAAGATGCAGGGTGGGCTTATATAATTCCTATGTGGAAGGCAAAGCATAAAGGGATGTGTAGATTTCATTTTTTTGGTAGGTTGGACAGGCTGATGAGGAGAACATTATTTTTTGATGAGTTTTGACATGACTCTGAGCATAGCAAAAAGATGTTTTTACTGTGGAAAGCCTAATTTTAATGGAAAAGCTAGATTCATGACAGAAGTTTTGTAATCGGTGTCAAGTACTTTGAAGTGAACTGTAATTAACATCATTTTATTGGCACTGTAAGTGTAAAGCAGATAGTTTTGAAAAAGTAAAGAGCTACTCACTCAGCTATTCCATTTTATGATAAGTCAGTGAAGGAAGAAGAAGCTATTCCATTTACAAAAGTCATGAACAGGCTGACAGTATTTACAGAATTTTACAGCTACAAGTCTGGTGAGTGCTGAAGATCAGTTTTGAACATTGTGAAACCTTTTTATAATGTGAGGGTGACTGAGCACTGGCAGAGGTTGCCCAGGGTACTTGTGGAGTTTACCTCCTCGGACATGCTAGAAAGCTGTCTGGCTGTGGTCCTAGGCCAATGTCTCTATAGGTAGCTCTGCTCCAGCGGAGGAGGTTGGACCAGATAACGTCTGGTTAGGTTAACAGTATGACTCATCATCTTAAAGGTCTGTTCCAAATTAAATGATTCCATGATTCTAGTTTAATATATGTGCAGAAATAAATACACTTTCCCTACTTGCCTTCGAAAATTATCTCACTAGTGTTCCCCATGCACCTGAGAAATGCCTTCATTTAATGCCAGTACTTACTGCACTTGCAGCACTATTCCCCTCTTTTGCTCACATTTGTCTCTCCCCTCAGCACCCCGATAGCACAAACCTTTGTATAACTGCGTTGGAGCTCTTTTAAAAGGGCTTCTTCTCTATTAAACCTGGCCAAAGTAAGTATTTTACTGCAGAATATTGCTTTTGTAAGCTCATGCCTAATTGGTGCTTGCTGTTTTTCGCGTTGCTCTCTTCCACTGAATGCATTATACCACATGTTTTTCCAAGGTATATTCAGATATTTTACAAAAATTAAACTTCTCCTCCTGATGCTTTTAGTGATTAATAAAATAACTTTTTAACTCTAAATTAGGGATGGTGTATCTCGAGTTCTTTTAGGTGTGTTCTCTGAGAAGTTTTAAAAGAGCTTGTGGGTTCTAGAGGTGTCTGCTGGTGAAAGCTTTAAATAATTTGATTTAGAATAGGTAGCATAAACATCTATGAACAAATTATGGTACTAGCTGTTCTCGTATGTACATTTTTCCCTATGCTTGTTGTAAGTCAAAGAAATCTGTATATGTGATCCATATTGCTGCTGCTGTGTTGTTCTCCATGTTTGCTTTCTGGGCCTTAAAACTGTATGTTTCTCAGACCCACAGCTGCGCCTTTTCAGCTATAATTCAGTTATAATTAACTCATTATAAATATTTCTATTTTCTTTGCTGTCAGTAGTGATACTGCTTCAAATGCAGCTTTTTCAGTAGTACCTGTACCATCAGGAAGCTCTTACGTACTGTATTAGATGTTCTTTGCAGGGTAATAAATTCAATTGTTTGTTACGCTCTGTTGCTTATAGAGCTTTAGGGAATAAACAACTAAAATTATTCAAGTTGAATGTATTTTGGGGCTGTTTTTGTAAACTCCGTTGAATGTCCTGAATACCATCAATACTATACATAGAATGACTACTTACTGCATTTATTTAATGAAGAATTGTTTTATGCAAGAATTAACTTTTTTATTTTGTACAACCTTTAAATAATTCAGAAGCATTTGAATGGAAACTCAGCAATGACAAGATGATTCTTCAGTTTTTTACTACCCTTACTTACTGTTAGCCATTGCAGTAGAATCCAGCTTAATTCTGGTAGGTCACAGTTACAAAAAGAGTATGGAGCTGTGATGATGTAATAGTCTTTAAAACACTTTAAAAGTCTTTTAGGTGAAGTCTTTTAAAAGTCTTTTACACTTTAAAAGATGGATGGAATCGTAAGTCTCATCTTGTCCTGCTCCCACTGAGATCATTTGCCTTCAGTTTCATCTGGAGAAGAATTAGTTGAGGAGTATGACCTGTTTAGCGTCACCAGTGCTGAGAGACAGTTAACAGTCCAGGTTTATCAAAGACAACAGTGCATGTCACATGAGTGCAAACAGCACAGGTGTGCAGAGCACAGTCTATATTATAATGTGTAAGTTTAAGGTTTCTGGCAATGACAAATACCTTATCACCGATTTCTCTCTTTTAATATTTTTCAGAAATTGAAAAATTTCAGGGTTCTGAAGGCAAGAAGGAAGATGAAGAAAAGAAATATCTTGATGTTATCAGCAACAAAAACATAAAGCTGTCAGAAAGAGTTCTGATCCCTGTCAAACAATATCCTAAGGTACTGTAAATATAATCTTAGCACAAGTTTAATCTTTCTTAATAGAGCCATAAAAGTCATACGCTTAACCGTTTTATCGACTCTTAGCATGCAGGCTTCATGATATTAAAAATAAACAAACTTGAAATGAAGCTTCTCTGTGAATTTACCTGTTATTATCTATTACATCTGATTTCTGTTTCAGGGCCTTTCAGAAAAGCTATTGAAGTGAATGATTATTTTTTTTTTAATTTCAGGTAGGTTTTTTAGCTGGTCTTTAGGTTAGGCAAGCTGTTGAAATGTTTTCTCATAGTTGCTTTTTTCACATCTACCATCATTTTAGGACATGAAAGTCCAGTTAGCTAAAAAAGTGTTCTACTAGAATAAAGAGAAAATGCTTCAAAAACTCTGAAAAGTCAACATCTTTCTTCTACAAGAGTTCAGGGATTTTCTCTGGTGAATTAAGTTTTAAAGTAGCAAGATTACTACAAGCTAAGACTTTTGACACTGTAAGTCCCTGTGTATAAAATGTAAATGTCTTTCCACCTTATAATTTCTTCATACTTTGTTCTTGTCACTGCTACATACTATGATTAAAGAGCATTTTTTGTTATTGCAGAAGAGCCCCAAATTCAGTGGCTTTTTTGAAGTTGGGTTTGGTTTGTGTTTGTGGTGTTTTTGTTTTTGTTTTTTTTTTTTAATGTACAGTGTTGTATTTTACCAAAACAGTTACTTGATTAGTATTCAAACTGAAATAGTAAGCATCAGAATTTATCTCCAGAGTATTTTCTTCTTACTGATTTATTATCATGACATTTGGGTCTGTTTAGCCTGGAGAAGAGAAGGCTGTGTGGAGACCTCATAGCAGCCTTCCAGTATTTGAAGGGGGCCTATAGGGATGCTGGGGAGGGACTTTTCATTAGGGACTGTAGTGATAGGACAAGGGGTAATGGGTTAAAACTTAAACAGGGGAAGTTTAGATTGGATATAAGGAGGAAATTTTTGTGTGTTAGGGTGGTGAGGCACTGGAATAGGTTGCCCAGGGAGGTTGTGAATGCTCCATCCCTGGCGGTGTTCAAGGCCAGGTTGGACGAAGCCTTGGGTGATATGGTTTAGCGTGAGGTGTCTCTGCCAGTGGCAGGGGGGTTGGAACTTGATGATGTTAAGGTCCTTTCCAACCCTAAATATTCTATGATTCTATATTTGGTTCACTGTTAGCCTTGATAATGGTCTCAGCTTTTTGCTTTATATTTTCATCAAGAGCAATAACTTACAATGGGTGCAAAGCCTATAAAACAAAATGAAAGGTGTAAAAAAGCTGAGATTCAGTGATTCCATCTGACATTTACCTCTTGACTAGTGAATATAAAACTGAGATAATGTAATCATCCAAATGGTGAAGACCTAGAAATGCACACAGTGCTATGAGGAATTAACTTCTTTGCTGCATAGCCTGAGGTTCTTTGACTAGATTTATGGTATTTTGTGTAAATGCTGTAGGTGACTTGAATCTCTTAATAAGAGTGTAATAGGGCTGTAACTTTATAACATGAGTGTGGTAATTACTAAGAATACTATTTCATGAAGATAGTAGAATGAACGACAAACTATTTGAAAGACAAATGCAATAATATATACAATGTAGTGCCTGAAGACGATTAAATTAACCTTCATTTACTTTAATGAGCTTGTTATATTAATGAGTAGTAAAAGATATAACGCATTTCTACAGATTTTGAGCAGTGAAGGGGAAAAAAGTCAGTGCAGTGGAAATGCAGTACTTGTTCAGTAATGCAAAATACACTCTTGGAAAGTTTCTGTAGTTGGTTTGCTAGCAGTATTTTCTGTGCTTGGCATGGAATTATTTCCAGAACTGCAGGTTTCCTGCCACCATCTAGTAACCATCCTGCAAGGGCTGCATTTGCCATTTGTATCAAACTGCCGATTGCTGTGCTCTAGTGTCTTGTCTTTTCTTGATGAATTATGTATATTAGGATAATCAAAATCAGTACACAGTGGTGCTTCATATTTTTTTATAACTAATAAAAAAGTAGAAATTGGGTTAAACATTCCCCCCCTTAATTGTATATATTTAGCAGAACATGGTAATAGGAGCAGTAGATCAGACCTGTAGTTATAAACACCTAAGAGAATTGTTGTATGATTTCACCCGAGAGGAATTTATTTTTTTAAATCTGTATTTTAATTTTTTCATTGATTGCTTGCTGTAAGCTTTTTTTTTGGCCGGTGCTGGGTGAGCAGGGTTCTGTAAATCTGAACAGTGTCCAGAGTATAAAATTCTGGAAAAAAATTCTGACCATCTAAATAAAAAAATAGTTCTTGTGGTTTGCAGACTCTGCTTAGGAATGAGACTAATCCTTTAAATATATTTGCTCTTATTTAACTACATGTAGAAACACAAATTGCTCCAAAGAAACCTGAGGCCTAACTGAGGCTTAACTGTTTATTATGGCCTTGAGGGTAGATCCCTTCAATGATAACTGTAGAGTCAGAAGTGAATTTTGTTTTGAACAAGAGTTAACTGAACACAAAAGGCTTCTAGTGTCTAAATAGCTCTTGAAGTTGCAGAATAAGTATTATAAAATAGTCTCTACTCAAGTGCCTGTAGTCTGATTTCTGAAATTGCTGATGCAGACAACAGGAAAATAAAATCAAAGTCTGTGATTAGCAACAGCTGTCTTACGTTCCCAGCTCTGTTAAAGGTAGAGGCCTCTCTTCTGTAAAATAGAGATCTAAAAAGAGGTAAGGGTGTTAGCTGAGAGTTCAGTAATGGTGTTTTCTGAGATTAATTATTTTAAATCTCAGCAGCCTAAGTAAAAACATATCTCATTTAAAGACACTCCTCTAGCTGCAGCAGATCTTTTTGATGTCCTTAGAACACCTGAAACAGTGATGCAGTGTCTTGTACTTCGTGATGCTTTCTCCTTTCCCATAGTGCCATTTGATTATTTTTTTTTTTCACTTTCATGTGTATGTGAATTCCACCCAAGGAAAATCAACAGAAATACTCAGACTGTTTGTTACAGACTGTTCTATTTTTTATCTTTTGTACCTGTTCAGTTTGAAATTTGCATGAAAATACCCAGGGCTTGTTCATAAAGATTTTGCCATTTATCAGTTGCATGTTGTATTTCAAATACATCAAATGGGGGAAAAGAGTGGGTTGTGAAAGAAGGAAAATAATGTCTGAAGTTACTTTGTTGAAAAACAGAACCTATAATTTAGAGGCTTGGTGGACAACTTTGTTGTTTGCATGTAATACCTAACTATCAAGAGAGTCAGTTGTTGTATGGGCTTAGGGTCAAAACGCAAAAACAAGTGTCACCTTCAGGTATTGTCATGATTTTATCTTTTTTCCCTAGGAAACCTTGAATTTTCACTAAGCATTTTCTCCTCATATGAATTACAAAAAAAGAGTTATTTTGGTTTGATGCATTACCTCCTTAGCTCCCAAACCCACTGTTTATTCAAGATGAAGGAATCCAAGTCATTTTCAATATATAGACTCAGTGAGTTATTTCCAGCTGTTCTTTCTGGAAATTAAATTCTTATTTTCTTAAATCTGAGTTTGGGTATTTCTTTTCCTTCTGATATGTCAACAGGTAAATTAGTCTAAATCTAATGGAGTTGAAATAACACGAATTTAGAGGCAAAGTGCTAAATTATTTAGTTTTATGGCAGTTTACATTCAAGAGAAAGAATTTTCAGTTTTGTCAAATTTCAATTACATGGAAATTGCACATTCTGGGAAAAAAACCCCAAGCAACCAAACCAACCAACCATACAAAAACCCAATCAAGAAATCAAACTGCAGTTAATTAAGGAAGAAATTTTTCCAAGTTATCAGTTACTGAAGTTGGAGGTGATGACACCTGGAGATAATGAACTCTCTATTTTTCAGTGAGAGACAGAAATCAGTGCAATGCCTTCTGAGGGAAACATGATGATTAATATTTTTCTAATTATATGATTATTGAATATAGATATGTCTATAAATAAAAGATGATGTGATCATATAAATATTAAATATAAATAATTATGCAAGTATAATGTAAATGAAATTAATTACAATTTGGTGCCAGAGTGAATCATTAAGTTACAAAATTTTAAAACAAAATCTCAATTTAAGTACAGGATTATATTTCATTTTTTTCCCTCTACTGGTTTGTCAGATAATGAAAACTATTAAATTATAAAATATTAGAAGCATGTGCTGCTAAATTCCAGGACCATGTAGGGGTGACAGAGATGAAGAGCAGGTTGACTCTTCTTTATGTCTTCCATGATGTAGGGTTGCAAACTTTGAGGCACTGTGTCTTCAGAGGATCCAGTATAATAAAGCCTCTTCCCTGCACAAAGGCTCAGCTGATAGGCAATAACAGTTTCATCCAGAAGTACCGTTTGGCTGCAGCTAAGCTCCCTAACTCTTGCTGGCTTCCTCCTGGATGTTTAAGTATACTTTTTTGGGGGAAAAAAAGAAAAAGGGTAGAATTCAGCCCCTTACCTTTTGAAAGACTGTCGCTGTTTTAGAGTATGTGTTATTGGGGAAGAAAGTTAATGTTGATGAATACTGTAAATTAAGTTAAATTCCAGATTCTTGATATCCTTTTTTTTCCTGTCTCATGACGGTTCCTTGAATGATGAATGACTTGACTGAATTTATCTTTCTCATTCTTAGTCATTGTAAAATTGGTTATGCTGTATATAACATGTCAGGTTGGAATCACTACACTTGAAATGAGATTTATTTGTTCTACTAAATCTCATAAGGTTATTTTAATCTCTGTGATATATTAAAACAGAAATTACAGGTGATTTGAACAACAAAGTACTATATTTTTTTTTTATACATTACACCCCAGAGTGAATCTCTCCACTGAAATGTTCTTACAGTGCATTTGAAACAAATTTTGTATGAAATAAGTATTTGCAATAAAAGAACCTTTTTTTTTTCATTTTCCTCTTTCTAATAAACAGAGCTAAGTGGCTGACTAGATTAC